GAAGTCCCTAGGCTGTATGGGAAGCAGCTGTGGTCTGTACTCTTTTCCTGTTGGAACAAGAGTCACTTAAAAAAAACTCAAAATATCTGCATTCTTGTTTTTCAGCTGGTATTTATATCAGATGAATGGAATCCTGGGAACCAGTGAGAAGAGCAGACCTACCCTCTCATCACATTCTCTTGGCTCTGCAAATTAATATTATCAAAGGCAACCGATTTCCATGATTCCGGATATTTTCTTTTATCAAACAGAAGCAGCTCCACATGGCTGGATATCTGTAACAGGATATGGACTTATGGGTCAGAATATGCTGAGCTTAGCCATGAAAGAGCACTAACAAAACGATTCAGTAATATCTTATTTATACACACACACACACACACACACAATCCTTCATATCTGTTCTAGGTGACCACCCACCTAAACGGATCTGAATGACGTAAGGAAAGACAGACAAACCAAACTGGGCCAGTTTCCCATTTTGGAAAATGTAAATGCTGGATAGAAAAGTCCAGTACCTGGAGGTTAGGAGAGATGAGTCACTTCAATCACAGTGCCTTAGGGTCCCTAGAACTGCTCTGCTTCCCTTTTAAAATGTAGTTAGTGAGATCTTCATTTGATCAATACCTCTCTAGGTAATTATGCACTAAATCCTCTTCCCTGTTAGCCATAATCGATTCTGTAGCTTGCAACCAAAAGAACCTTACCTAGAAAGTATTTGTGTCCCCACTTTACAGATAAGGAAACTGAGACTTAGAAGAATTAAGAGAGAAATTTGTTGTACACCACCTACCTAGTAAATGACAGAATGAGCACAGAAACCAGGTCTATGTGACTCTAAAATTCATGACATTAACCACTAGGCCACCCTGACTCCAAATGCTATACTATAGGTTACTTTTCTTGTCAGAGGAATGGACTTGTGCTGAATCCTACTTTCTTGTTTGCTAAATAAATAACGGCATACTTTCAGAAAAAGTCATTCAGGGAAGAAGACGGAATCTGCAGTGGCCTCATAAATCGAAACTTGATAGTCCACAAAAAAAAAATCAAATCCATAGTCTCGGCTATGTACACTTGGCTCCCACCAACTGAACTAAACAGTCTGGCCTCACTGACAAGGAGAAGATGCCTTGCTTGTTCCCATGTCAACTGATTCTATCTCCCTAAGACAGACAAGCTGGAATGCTTCCTCTGTACAATAGGTCTTCACAAGAGGGCAGGTGGTCTTACAGTAGGAGCATTTCAACTAGACTGACTGGCATGAACAACTAAAACAGGGCTTTGCTTTTTAGGTCAGGAAGACAGGCATCTCCCACATCGCTATGAATAATAAACCCAAATAGATGCAGCCCAACAACTGGGATGGGAAGATAGATCTACATCTTAGAATAGTATCAGATCATCCTGACAAAATCTTAATACAACATCAAGCCAGTTGTTAAAAGTCAAGATTTAGAGTTGCTATCTTCACAGGCAGGAAGCATTCTTCTGAGGGTACAAGCAACAGTCATCGATTTTTACTATAAGAGAAAGATACTCCTGAAAATTAACCTTAATCTCATATATATATATTTTTTTATTTCCTAAGTCCCTTGCCTTATTTCTTTGTCTTTGGTGGACAGCTTTGATCTGGGAGTTGCCCTACAGACTGATCTGTTTGCTCACTTTGCTTGAGTTCTTAGGCTACTTGGATCTAGTGTCTGACCTGGGCCATCCCCAACTCTGTTCTTATTCTACCAACTCCAGCATCCCACCTATGCTTTCTTCATTTTATATTAACAAATGCCTCTTGAACCCTACCATTCCTATTGCGGGACAGTGATACCAAGGGACTGACTCCACAGCAAAATTCAAGTACAGAACATTCCAGTTTGGGCTGGATGGGACACGCTGCTTTAGAAGTTGTCTTAGCCTTATTACATTTACTACAAATGATCGATTCTAGGCTTAGGGTTATTGTTCATAGAAAAATATTTGAAAATAGTAAGCTGAGTGATGGGATCATGGTGGGCGGGGCAGTGTTCCTGTATCTGAAGGGGATCATGCTCCTTACATAAAGAACGTTAACAAATATTTTTTTTTCTTTCATCACTCTTCAGAAATTCCTACATGGCAGAGGTAAACAAAAGACCACAGTCTTGCTAGAAATAGGAGACAAAAAGATGCAAGAAATCTCAAATCCCCTTTTCCCAACCATCATTCCCCTACATAGACATGGCTTCTCCCATCTGTTTGCCCTACAGTTCCCCTACAGACACACAGCTTAACATCTACCACACATTAGGACATTTCCCACATTACCCTTTGCTTCCATGGAAGGACTATACACCTGTTCATCAACAACAGGGGCTTTGTCAATGTTTTTGCATTTCTATCATCCAGTACAGTGCCTGGAATATGCTAGGGTTTCAATAAATGTCTGCATCATGTATCAAAAAGGAATAAAAAACACTCAAAGGAGCTCCACTGAGAAATCAGTTTCAATAAAGAAAACAATGTCATTGTAAAACTCTATTTTCTCTGCTAGCAAGTAAAGTCCTCTCCTTTTTACACTCCACTGATTCATTCTGAACATGATGTCAGGAACAATACAGGACCCAAAAAAAAACAATTAGCAAGGGAACAAAACAATCGGTTGAACCGTCTGGGATTTGAGCAATATATAGATCAAATGTCTTAAGTTTGCTATGCTCCTTCTCATCTGGCCAGAATGGATGACTTGGCTGCACTGTACCAGGAATAATTGTCCCTCATATATCCCCAATCAACTGCTTCTTAATGACTAGTCAGAAGTGACAATGTAAAAGGTGCAGTGACTTTCACCGTACTTGGCAAAACTTGGACCAAGTCCCATTGATTTACCCTTGGAATAGGTGAGCTCAGAGACACCTTACACAGCTGGTTATAGTCGATCCTGCCTGTCTTCAGCAGTCACAAGGTCCTTGAGTTGGGAAGAGACCCAAGGGGAGAAGTGAGATGTCTGAAGTGATCTTTGGTTCTTATACTACTTCCCAAGGTGGTGGAAGATCTGGAACAATGTGGCCTGCACCAAAACTATCTTACTCATCTTGGAGGTCAAATGACCTTTCTATTAACCTAAACCCATACAAGAGTAGTCCAGCCTACAAACAGATTTGGAAAAAAAGTGTATGAACTGGACAGACTGGCCCCATAGGCTGCTTCCTCATCTTAGCTCATGTTCTGCTTGTTGTAGCTTTGAAAATCAGTGACTGAATTTACATCCCATAAAGCTCTAAATAAGTTCTCTCTTCCTCCTTCACCCCAATGCTCTGTGTCCTATTTCTGATCCAGCTGTAAAAGAGATCTGCAGTTCTCCTGAAAAACCCCTCATCTAATAATATAACTGAGCTCACACAACCACTCCTTGAAAACATCTTTGCCCAGTCATCCAGCCCGTGTTCCTGGCTTGTTCCAGGATTCATGCCCATCACCAGACTTCTGATATTGGACAATTCTGGCCACTGGTAGTCTTGAGGGATGAGACCCTGCACGTCCCTTCTCAAGAAAGTCTTCTCTTCTCTGAATGTCCATATCCTCCCGGTCTGGTCCACCAATAGAATCCATGGTGCTGACTTCTATCATTTTATTTCTCTTCTTGTATAGATGCCTCAACTCCTCAGATAAATAAATGATAAGCTTCTTGAGAGCAGGAACTGTGTCTGTTACAGATACAGTATCTTCAAAGCCCCAGGGCTACGCCCTCAGCAAACTCTTGATAACCATGTAAACTATCCTTTTATATAAATAGAGGCTGACAACCTATGGACAGCCAGCTTGAGTCAGTAAGCTTGGCATATAAAGGAATAAACCAAGCTGGAACTGGAAGTCGCTCAAAGACCAGAATTTCCTTGTCGTGATTCTGTTTCTGTTTACCTTTGTCTCTACCCATCACCCAAATTGCAAAGTCAGTGCAGATGTAAGATGCTGAAGTGGTGACTGGAAAGGGATTGCTCCCAGCATCCTGGCCTGCTTGCTTCCCTCCTTTTCACCTACCTCTTCTGCCCTTCCCCCCATCTCATGCCACACTCTAGTCCTTTCTGGACTTCATTCAGTTCCCCAACTGTGCCATGGTTTCTTAGCTCTGTCCCTTGGCACATTCTCTCTCTTGTCTAAGACACATGCCTTCCTCCAATCTCTTTGCCAAGCTAACTCCTACTCATATTTCAAGTCTCAGATTGCATATTTCTTCCTGGCAGCAGCTTTCTATGAACCTCTGGTATGCTGGACCTCCCTGCAGAGGCCTTACAAACTCCTCTATTTTCCCTTTAATGATGTTAATAGCAATGACAATGGTGGTTACAATCACCAACACTTACTTACTAAGTCATTGTCTGTGAAACTACTCACTCACTTAACCATCACTGTACATTGTGAGGTAGGTCCCTGGTTATCCCTATTTCACAGATGAGGAAATCAAGTCTCAAAGATATCGATTATCTTGATAAAGTTCACAACACCACATAAGGGTCAGATTTCTCACCCAGGCACCCCAGAGTTCATGCTCTTAACCAATACATCATTCTGCCTTACATGTTTGTAGTTATTTACTTAATGACTAAATACTCCACTAGGCAGTAATTCCGTGAGAACAGGCCTGGATCTACCTTGCTCCCAGTGTATTTTTAAAACCTAGTCCAAGAGCTAGCATACAGAAAGCTCCAAAGAGCTAGTTTGTTAGTCCATCCAGAAACCCAAGAGAGATATATGTGCCCACTCTAACCAGAAGATGTCTCATACTTAATTGAGAAAGTATCATGATCTTGGTAATATTTATTCTAAAGTTTCCTTTCTGGGATCCAATCCTAGTTAAACAAGTTCAAGAGTCCAGAACCAGAAAGGGTGTAATCTGGGAAGCAGTGAACAAAATGCAATGCTTCTCTAAAACAAAGAAAGCATGGGTAGTTCTTTCTAGGGACACAACTGCCATCCACCACCCCCGCTCAGACCCTGCAGGCCACCCGTGAGGGCCAACTCACCCCTTTCACAGGTCCTTCCCCAGTAGCCTGTGCCCGTGCAGTCGCAGATGAAGCGGTTCCAGCCATCCTTGCACACTGCGTTGTTCTTGCAGGGGTAGCTGTCGCACTGCTTAGCACTCAGCCGTGAACAGGAGGACTTGACGCCCGCAGCGTTCTGCATCTCCGCCAGCTGCCGGATGTTCTTGCTGCGCCCGTCAATGAACAGGTCACGGATGCAGCCCACATAGCCGTAGTTGAGCATGGCAGTCCAGAGCTCAGTGGGGAGGATGAGGCCGGCACGGTTCTCCGGCAGCCCGCCCAGGTACATGTCCCCCTCCAGGTCCAGGATCTCACTCTCCCCGCTGGCAGTGAATGGCGTGCGCCTGCTGTTCACTGATATGGTACCTGGGATGGGAGGACAGAAACGGAGTGAGCTAACAGCCCTCTTGGCATCTCCGGTCAGGCTGCTAGTCGGTGAGCCCAATGACAGAAGACCAGTAGGTGAGTTCAGAGATCAGTGTTGCCTGGTCAGTGGGAACAATACAAGCAAGGGAGTCAAATGCTTCAAGACGGTAGAAAAGAGAATACAGGCCATGTGGTTCCAGTCTTTGCTACTAAGACACTCTCACTGACAGGAGGATTTGGGACCATCTCAGTCAATGAACACGTAATGTGATATCTTTTCTCTACAGTCTTGGCTGAAAGGTCATATACCATACAGGTTGAGAGTAGCATAGCCCATGCCTGGGTTTAAATGCCAGCTCTACCATGTACTGGTGTGTAATCCTGAAGAAGTGATTTCACCTTCTGAGGCCTTAACATCCTCATCTGTAAAATGGGAAAATAATTGTCGCCACATCACAGACTGGCATGATGATTAAATGAGTTTATATATATATATATATATATATAAAGTGCCCTCTGTGTCTGGGACAGAGTAAGGACTCTGGAACTACTTGACTCTTTATCACTCGTTTGCCATTCCCCAAAGGATGGAACCCTCCATGCACGGATATGCTCCACACTAGTGTTAGCTACCAGCCCTGCCAGTGAATATCTGGAGCATTACCTTTGAGAAATTTTAACTGGGACATGTTTGTTTATTCAAATATATATTGCCCACCTGTGTGTCTCTGGCATACCTGTAGGCACAGAGGTGAACTTGACAGGTCTATCTGCTCTTGTGGTGCATATATTCCAGAGCAGAGGGACAGAAGGTAAATACATTGCTCAATAAACAAGAGAAATTAGGTAATGGTAGGTACTAGGAGAGCAAAATGGGTACTATAGTAGCAGCCTGTGGGGTCTACTTTAAAACGTATTGTCAGCGAAGGCCTCTCCGGCAGGTAACAGATACACTGAAAGCACAATATTGAAAAGGACCCAACCAAACCAAGACCAGGGGAAGAATATACCAGGCAGGGGGAATGGCACCTGCAAAGGCTGTGGGGTAAGCCAGAGTAGGGCTACAGTGGAGCAGCACAAGGGGTGAGCAGGAGATGAAATCAGAGAGTCAGACCAAACACGGCAGCAGGAGGGTTATGGATCCACCAATGTGACTGTAGAAGGTATAAGCATACAGCCTGGCCTGGGAACTTGTGCCTGGCATCCTGGTCCTCAGTGGCCTCTGATATCAGGCCAGTCCTTGAGCCACTTTACAGTCCAGTTTCCTAAACTACAAGATCAAGGTGATATCTAAATATCATGCCAGAAACTGTAAAACCTATTTAGTATTCTTAAAGTGCTTTCTTGGTACCAGGATAACTGGGTCAGCCATCCATCAGCCAGCCTTCACTTCTATCTGAGTCACAATCCCCTAGGCTATGAAGGGGAGAGCCTGAAGGGCCGTAAAGATCAAATAATATCAAGAATGTGAAGTACACTCCAGATTACAAAGCCAATGTAATAGGCCTTTGGGTGGGTTACACCAACAGCCACTTCCTCTACTCCATCCTAGAAGTTTTGTCCTGGAAAAATCGGATTTGTGTTTTTGGAGATTTTTTGTTTATTTTTATTTTTATTTTTTTTTAATTTTTTAATGTTTATTTTTGAGAGAGAGAGAGATAGAGTGTGAGCAGGCAAGGGGTAGAAAGAGAAGGAGACACCGAATCTGAAGCAGGCTCCAGGCTCTGAGCTAGCTGTCAGCACAGAGCCCCACGCAGGGCTCAAACTCATGAACCGCGAGATCATGACCTGAGCCGAAGTTGGACGCTTAACTGACAGAGCCACCCAGGCACCCCTGTTTGTTTTTAATCTTTTAAAAGCCTATGTATAGTACTAAAGTACTGCATGTGCTTTTCTGGACTTGATCCTCAAAACAATCCGGCAAGGTAGGAGTTAATAGGTACACTCTTTCACAAATGAGGAAGTTGAGGTTTGCATCTCCTTTTTTCTTGCACTGCTTGCTTTCTCGACCCTCCACAAGCCCACAGAGCTGCTTGATCCTGAACCTGGAGGAACAGCTATTGACAAATAAGGGCAGCACCAGACCCAATTTAAATGCTGGAGCCATAAATACATCCTGAGTAAAATCCATCCTGAGTGGGTGACCACAACTGTTTTGAATGCACATAATTCTGTTTCAAGAATCAGTCTCCTAGGGCACTTGTGGGGATGAGCACTGGGTGTTGTATGGAAACCAACTTGACAATAAATTATTTGTAAAAAAAGAATCAGTCTCCTAACTGGGGAGTGATCATAATACTTCTTCCATGTCATTCTTCCGGATGAACAGGAAAGGAGGCACCAACTCACAAATACAGATGTTTTTATAACTACTCATTTTGGAATGGGTTCATAACTAAAAACATACCAGAAAACAGCCTCATGAAGAAATGAAGTTTAATAGATCATATTAAAATTTCATGTTATGATGCTTTCATGGGACAATTATTTGTTTACTCAGGAAACTATTACAGGCTTTGATGAAATTTGTCAGTATTGGCCAATTCTATGGCTCCCAGAAAAGAATTTCAAGGCATCTGAAATCCAGATATATTTGTCAGGGATAGGTCCACTGACAGTTCTAACCAAATAACTATGTCACTTGAAAAAGCAATATGTGCTGGGAACAAACAGAAGTAAACATATAGCAAGCTTCTGTGTTCTCACCTGCCCTTGACACAGGTAAACTTTAAGCTGTGTCAGGTCTAAATTAGCCAATCATGACACACACCAATCAGAATGGAACTCCTGGAGACCCAGAACACATGGTCCTGAAACCAACAGAAGTGTTTCCCTTATAATTTTATTTTTTTAAGTTTATTCATTTATTTTGAGACAGATGGGCAGACAGCGTGAGTGGGGGAAGGGCAAAGAGAGAGGGAGACAGAGAATGACAAGCAGGCTCTGCCCTGTCAGCATGAAGTCAACATGGGGCTCAAACTCATGAAACCATGAGATCATGACCCCAGCCAAAACCAAGAGTCAGATGCTCAACCGACTGAGCCACCCAGGCACCCCTCCCTTATAATTTTAGAATAACGTTTTGGCACTGCCCCTGCTGACATTTTATGGATAAATTCAGAAAGAGAGAGAAACAGATCTTCCCTCCAGAGAAATTAGTTTTTTGTGGGTCCTTTTCTGTTAAAAAAGCACAAACTGTTCATTCTTACTCAACAAGCACATTTAATTTGAAGCCTCTTGGTTCTGATTAGATTTCAGACAATCAATAAAGCATCCTGCTGGGCACTAAGCCATCCAGGGCTGCAATCTGCCACCCGTCTGCCCTCTGAATGGAGCCCATCCAGCTCCTCCTAGGGGCAATACTGCTCATCTCTGTCATCCCTCTGGCTAGGGAATTATACAGAAAAGCTCATTCTTGACTGTAGCCTTTTGAGGGAACCTATTGTTTTCTATTATTGGCCAAGCATGCCTACAAAAGAAAAAAAAAAGCCCAGATGAAAGACTTTGTGTTTACCAGGAGGGAGAATCCTTAAAAACAGAGTAAATATGGCCAAGACCTTTCCTGAGTATAATTCTCTAAATTGGGAATCAGGAAATAAGTGTGAAATCCAAATGCTCTAGTTACCACTCGGGTGAAATGTCCTTTCTGGTGGCACAGAATGTGACCTTCACTGCCACATGGTCCATAGAAAGCTATGCAAACTGTTCAGGCATTCAAAAGCTCCAGACTCTATTTGTGTGTGTGTGTGTGTGTGTGTGTGTGTGTGTGTGTGTGCACGTGCGCGTGCACGCGAGCAAGTATGCAAGCGCGCGCACTCCCTCTGTGACTGTTCCACAGTAGCTATGTACTGCCTGGGGCTAGCTTGTTTGATCTGCAGCTGCAGAAACAAACAAAGCCATTTAAACCAAATGTAAAAGGTTATGAAGAGGAAGGGAGAGTTAGTGAGGTCTGAGCAAAGAGTGAAATATAGGCTCTCACACCAAAGGAAGGCTTTAAGTTGAACATGACTTCAGGAAAAATCAATTTGCCTTTCCCTTTCTTGTCTTAATTTCTCCCTGCAACATGACTCTTGCCAATTATTGAAGGGTGTATCGTTGCATAAACTCTCGCACACTGAGGCTTATCCTACAGAGTAATCACATAACGCAGCATCTGTGATGTCACAATCGGTTTCCATGGTGATGAAAAAAAGGAGAAGAGGAAAAGGAGGTGGGGGGGAGGGGGGAGGAGAACATCACACCAGTGACATGACAGTCTCTTTGGTAGCAGTGGAAATGCTACTTGTAAAACCATCCTTGGCTCCAGGGTCTTGAAGCTTTCACAGAAGAGACAGCTGTGTGGTGAGTGACAAGGGAGAGGGGGAGGGACGAGACAGATATCTTGTTCAGAAACATAATCTTACAACAAACATTAAAGAAAACAGCAAGAGTCAACATGCATGCAAGCACAAACATTAAAATAAAAACTGTAAAATATAAAAAAGTATAAAGCCATGAAATAGACTAAGATGCTGTAGTTTTCCTCTTTTCCGAGTCACAACTCCACCTTCTCCTACCTGATCTGCCATCTCGCTGGATGTCCACGTGGTACCATTCCCCATCGTTGGCTTTCTTCTGAGTGGCCTTCACTTTGATGGTGCCTGAGCCCATATCAAGCAGCAGGTACAGGTTGCCATCAAGGAGTTCCACAGCAAAGAAGTCCACCTTGGTGTTCTTCTGGCTCCGAGCATCCTTCCTCTCTTGGGGCTTGCCGTGAGTGAAGAGAATCAGGCCGTTGGGCTCAGTGGTGCGGAAGTCAAAGGAGATGGAACCCATGCGCTTGGTGTTCCATTTGGGCAAGCTGATGTATGCCTCTGGGGTCTCGAAGTTGATGGGGTCCAGCGTGGCCACATTCTCACACTTGAATACAACTTCCCCATAGATCTTCATCTTGGTGTCCCCAATCCGGGCCAGGCGAGACAGCTCCAGACGGATGTCATTATTCTTATAAACAACCTGTCAAAAGCCAAACAAGAGCCACAGGAATCAATCTTGTAAACAGTTACCATCCACTGTTCACTGGGCACTTGGGACAAAGGTCCAAGAAGAGGCTTCAGGACACACTATGTCTGAAACAATAGGAGAAACATGAGATGCAGCATATAAAAAAGCATCTGAAGACACTTCTGGGATACACAGAAGATGTAAATAAGCCCCCACATTTCCATTTTATTCCTTTTGTGCTGTCTCCTTCTGGTCAATTTTTTTTTGTGATATCAGAAAGACATACAATACAAGCTTGCAAGTAGAAATCAAGAGAGTATGAGTTACCCAAAAACTAATACTTCAATACAAATATAATTGCTGAAGTATAGTAAAAGACCAGAAACAATCTGAATGACCATAAATAACAAACTGGCACATCCTTGTCATGGATAATTCTGCAGCCCTTAAAAACGAGGTAGTGCTCTGGGGCCCCAGGGTGGCTCAGTCGGTGAAGCATCGGACTCTTGATTTTGGCTCAGATCATTATCTCAGGTTTGTGGGAACAAGCCCTGCACCAATTCTCTCTCTTCTTCTGTCCCTTCCCCTCCTCTCTCTCTCTCTAAAATAAATTATTAATGATAATAATCAAAAATAAAGGCAGTGCTCTGGTTTTGACATGGATGCTCTCCAAGAAATATTAAGTGAAATTATCAAGGAGCATAAAAGAGTGTATACTACACTATTATTGTGTTAAGAGTGTGTTTTTTATATATGTTTATGCATATGCATATATGCACTATCATTGTGTTAAGAGTGTGTGTTTGGTATAAAAACTCATAACATGCACTCATAAATGCATAAAACATCTTTGGAAGAAAACACAAAAAAACTATAAAATTGTAACTGGTGAGCATATCTGTCAGATTAATATTCAGGAATGGAGGGAGACTGACTTTTCACTGTTGTATTGTTTCGGTTTTTTCACCATGGAGATGTGTTAAGAGTTGGTGGGGAAGGAGATCTGTGTTTTGTGCCCATTGTGTGTACCCTCTATATACACATGGCGGGAGAATGAAGCACCCTAAATTGTTCAGAAAAACTATTATGATTTTCAAAACCTGGTATAATCCACATAAAAGCAGGAATTAATGTTATTCCCCAAAGTTAGAATTTCAGAAAGGGTTGCTGTTACAGGCACTGAATTTTGATGGGTCTTGGTCCCATTATCTCTAAGTAACATCACATCTATCCAATAAGCAAGAAAAAAATTAAAGGAAAAGGGTCTAACAATGCAGTATTGATTATGGCTATGGCCATTACATTATCCTATTCAAATTCTAAGCCAGGATCTGGATTTAGGCTCAAGTCCTATATTTACTATGTAAAAGCTGTGTGACCTTGGCAAAGTTGTTGAACTTATCTGGGTCTCTTTTCTCCTCTGAAAATGAGAACACAGGAGTAAATTATTTGGCAAGGATGAAATGAGTTAATACATACATGTAAAGCATTTAGAATGGCACAGGGTAAGAGCATAAAAATCTCAGGTACTTTGGTGGTAGTTGCTAGAGCTGTTAATCACATTTCATCCTTTCCATAGCCCAAAAAAGGTTGTAATATCATTTCATTTTCTGTTAAAATGTACTTAAGTACTAAAATAAGTCTTACAACTCATCTCAGTGATAAAAAGATAACTGGATGCGTCATTCCAGTATATCATTTCATCTCTAAAACCAGAATTGTTTCCCTTTTAATATATAACAAATGACAAAGAATTGAAAATGCCTTACATACTATCTAACCTTGACAATGAGCCTCGCCATAGTCAGTAACACTGCAAATAACAATATACTAATATTTCCTGAGCACCTACTGCCAGATACCATGACTAAGGAGCTAAAGCCTACCATCCCATTAGATCCCAATAACATCCATTTGAGATTCCTACCAACATTCCCTTCTTTTTACAGATATAAACAGTTAAGGAACCAGTTCAGAGTCACAATAGCTGGAAACTGGCAGAGCAGAACTTGGACCCAGGCAAACAGGCTCTAGCATTCATGTGCTTTACCACTGTGGACACTCAAAGTGAGGGCTCACTGGCAGCACCTGTGAAGCTCATCATTAACATTACATGGAAAATCATGCATGTTCAGCTTCCTAATTCAAAAGCTTAATTTCTTATCTCAGAACAACTGTCCTGACCATGTGAACAGGGAAAAGACTGCAAGATCCTTAGGCTATCAGTGACTGCAGTGAACCATTAAAAGAAACAAAGTTTAATGACTGGTCACTTCTCCTTTTTAACCCCACTTATTGTGCCCGAGCATGTGAGATCTCTCAGCCATAAACAAACTGTGGATTTCTCTGCATTGGGTTAAATGCCTACAACTAGAGCTCCTTGTTAAGACTAATTATTATAACTCATCCCAGGTGGGGAGAAGAGGACAGACTATGTGTTGGTTCCATTGAATAATAAGTAGAAAAAGAACTCAGGCATCCCTACAGGAGGCAAAAGAGAAAAGAGAAAAAGACTTTTAAAGGGACGAAGGGTACCATGAAGAGGAGTTCCTCTCTTTTTCCTTTTTTTTTTTAACGTTTTATTTATTTCTAGGAGAGAGAGAGAGAGAGAGAGAGACAGTGTGAGCAGGGGAGGGTCAGAGAGAGAGGGAGTCACAGACTGAAACAGGCTCCAGGCTCTGAGCTGGCAGTCAGCACAGAGCCCGACGCGGGGCTCGAACCCACGAACCGCGAGATCATGACCTAAGCGAAAGTCGGACGCTCAACCGACTAAGCCACCCAGGCGCCCCAAGGAGGTCTTCTCTGACAAAGGAACACAGCTGAGACTAAGACCCAAGGTGAGTAACTGGAATCCAGGTTTCCAGAGAGACAGGAGAATCAGGGCCACAGACTGGCCAATGATAACCAGACTTCTCTCAAAAGCTCTCTGAAGGTGAGCTCTCGATCTACTCCAAGGCCTGGAAATTACTTCTCTATTTATATGGATTTGCCTCACGGATAAGCTGGATAACCTCTCTGAGTCCCATTTCCAAAGGTAGGAGCCTCAAAACCTATTCGAGAAATGGCTCCCCTTCCCATCCCCACCAAGGCTGTTATCAAGATTGAAAGGGATGTGGGGCACCTGGGTGGCTTAGTCAGTTAAGCATCTGACTTTCGCTTAGGTCATGATCTCGCGGTTCGTGGGTTCGCGCCCCACGTCGGGCTCTGTGCTAACTGCTGGCTCAGAGCCTAGAGCCTATTTCGGAGTCTGTGTCTCCCTCTCTCTCTGACCCTCCCCTGCTCACGCTGTCTCTCTCTCTCTCTCCTAGAAATAAATAAAAATAAAAATAAATAAATAAATAAATAAAACATGAGGGAAGATGTCACATGGCCTAAGAGGCAGAGACAGAGTCACAAAGAATGACAAGCTGCTCTGACTACCCCACACACGGGTGTGTAAAGACGGCCATGTGGACTTGCAGCCCATGCCTGGGAGGCCAGACAGCAAAACAGTTGAGGACAGAGTCTCAGTTGAGACAGACTCTCTCAGAAAAACTGTACTTCTATGCCTCCGTAATCTCTGCTACAGAAGCACAAAGGAGCAGCATCAGGAGTAAGGCAAGACGTGAAAGCAGGAACAATCTAACAAAAACAGCCTGCATCTTGTGAGCATCTGCTATGTCTCAGACAATCAGCAGGTGAAACAGGCAGCATTAGAGGGCGTAACTAAAACTCGAACCCAGATCTCTCTGGTGGCACAGCAGTGGGGCCAGGCTCTAGGGGTGGCTGTTTCTAGGCTCTCCTGTGGCCCACACTTAGCCATAAAACAAAAATCTTTGTATCAATCACAAAAGCACACTCAGCTCCACCCTGAAGTGCAAGCCCTTCACACCTGGTATGTCCCACTCTTCCGCACTCAGGAGTCATCTCAGAGGCCTCCATCTGAGCTCAAGTGTGAGGCCTTCTGCATCTTTGCTCCCCACGTTTCCCAGGCTACCATGCTTTTCTCTCCTCTCCTGGTGCCCTTGCACCGGGATATCTATCCAAACCCACTCCGGGTCCTCTCTGGCAGCTCTGATCCTGCCGATCCTGCCATTTGATAAACTCAGGATCCTCATACTGCCTACCAGTGACACAGCTGTTTTCCTATTGCCAAACCACTTGCCCCGATTGGAGAAGGAGTAAGTCTTCAAACTGACATGATGTGCCTTTTCCATTAAACTCTCCCATGGCACTTGAGTTACATGGCAGGTCCATGAAAACAAATCTAAGGGGCAGTGACAGTCCCAGCTCACAAATGTACTTCTTTTCTCTCTCTCTCCCATGTTTTCCCAGGCCGCTCTATCCTCAGCTTCCTGAGAACATGTTTTCCTGCACTCCGCTGTATATGCCACCGCCCTCTGCACTCCAGCAATGAAACTAGAGGGAATGAGGGGATGTGGGCACATGCCCTGCAGTGCCCATGTGGCCTCTTGGTACTTCTTATCCTGTGCGGGAATAGGAAAGTATCACCTGGCCTTTTGTTCTCTTGTTTTTAAAAAAGCATCTTCAATCTTCTGTGGGTCTATATGCAGGAGAATTTCAATAAAAAACACTAGGTCAGCTTATGAGACCATCATTTATAGGTCCATGACTTGATGCCTGAGCACCACTGCTCTGATCCAGGTCAGTGGAGGATGTCTGAAATTCAGGACGCTAGGGGACAGTCTCTGAAGTGTCTAGACTTAGAACAGAACAGTGAGAAGCCAGTGTCAGGGTGCCTTGATATGGAACAGTGTCGATTACACATCCCAGTAAAGCCTTTCAACTTTATACCTGCGTGTGGAGAAGTGTACATCCGGCAAGCAAAAGACAAAGATATATTTATCCCCCACTACATTTAATCCATTGACAATAGATAATAATAAAATGAGCTTTTTCTCTACGGCTTCCAGGATTCCTAGTGCTGCTTCTAGATAAATGTTCAGGCTAATCTTATTACCATGTAACATTCCTACTCAGGGTAAAAACATAAAGCAGCAGCACTGTGAAAG